CTGAATTAATCCAGGCAGGTGAGGATTAGATGGAAATCTGTGTGTTAGTGGTTAGGGAGGCAACTAGTGGCAAATAAAATCAGTGCAGGAACTTGGTTATTAAAGGAACAGAATTATCAGAATAAAAAGTCTTGTTTGTCAGGATAGGATCCTAACAGTAAGTATAAAGTGAATACCTTTGTGAACCGTAATTCTTCAGGTGTGATTTACCTAATGGAATGTCCCTGCAGTTATATGTGGAACGTACCAAAAGACCTCTAAATTTAAGAATAGGTGAGCATCTGAGAAATATTAGAAATGGTCTTATGTCATGCAATCTCTCTAGATATTTCAGTTTGGTACATAAGAAAGATCCCCTTGACTTTAAATTCATGGGCATCCAGAAATATATTCCCCCATTGGAGAGGGTGTGATATCAAAAGAGAATTATAGTAACAGCAAAGTAGTCCAGGCACTCTTCATACATCAGCAGATTTATTGTAAAAACAGACAGATACAGCACTGTACCTAAGGCTGGCAAACCCCTGTATCTCATGTTTTTACAATAAATCTGCTGATGTATGAAGACCTTGAGTGCCTGGACTACTTTGCTGTTACTATATGGATTAGGGGTTTGCCAGCCCTAGGTACAGTGCACCAAGGTCTACAGGTGATGAGAGTGCAGATCCCTCCTTCTCAAAAGAGAATTAGACAAAACAGAGGTTCTCTTGATCTTAAAATTGCACACACTTGAATCAGCGTGTCTGAATATTGACTTTGTGTTAAATGTTTTTTTTTTGTAATTGTAGCCCTTTAAAATATATTATTATGAATGCAATTTTTTGTAATTATATATAATTTTTGCTTCGTAGTATTTGATGCCTTATTTTGTGTATTATCCTTACATATTTAAATTTGTAGTTCTTTTTTTATTTGTGGTATTTAATAACTGATGAATGTTTATGATTTTATTTTTAAGGTATCATTTTAATTGGTGGGATCTTCTATTCGATTTGTAATTTTATTCTTAATTTCATGCACAGTATTGTCAGTTTAATGTTACACATTGGCACCTTATAAGTGACACTCTTCTCTCCTCTTTTTTAACTGTAGTATTTAACAACTGATTTATGTGTTAATTCATTTTTATCATTTTTATGATCTTATTTCTAAGGTACCACTTACAT